CCATGATCCCACGCTACTTCACCAATGTTATTGTTTTGATGTGAGAAACCACCTCGTGGCAGAAATGACATATTACATATTATATTGTCTTACGTATTGAGTACATATTGTAAATTTTTTCAAGAAAATGATCGGCTGACCAATCATAATAATGGAATTTAGGCACATAGCTCAGCAGACAAGAAATAAACTACATTAAAATAAAAAATAACAGCGACAACTACATATGTCGTAGATAAAAGATAAAATCTAAACTTTATGTTTCGTCACAGGCACAGAGAAATAACATTTTCCTCATAGAAAAACATTGGGGCTGTTGTAATAGAAGCAGCCACCACAGTTCACATGCCAGGCCCTTGTTATTATTCACAGATAGCTCATTCATAAATGGCTTTCAGCTGCAGTGCACTGTGGCTAAACAGTTCAGTCCACTTATACATAACCAGCAGATGGCAGTATGTAACAGACATTTCCAGAGAATTCAATAATGGTAAACCGGTTTTAATTTAACCATACCATAGTTTAAAATTACATCAATCCATTCTTTTAAAAACAAAGAGTGTGTATTAGACCACAGTGGATGGTTTGTAGGTGTAGAGAGGAGGGAAGTGCTTACCTTGGACACTTGGGCACACCTACAGAGTGTAACCACATCTAGATAGGAGAATATTCTAGAAAGAGAGACAAGAAGACACTCTTAGCTGTTTGATTATGTTTTTCCTTCTGTGTGATTTAACATATGTTTTTTTGTGTGTGTAGAAAAGAAGAACAATCCCCTGTGTTTGGTCGGTAGCCCCACAGACAGGCAGCGTTTGAGCTGTGGGCCGGTCAACCACAAAGGGCTGCATGCAGCAGGCTACTGGGTCAGCTCAATCCATTAATCTGCCAATGAGTAATCTCTGGCACTCAGACAAGCAAGGCCACAGACAGCATAGGACATACAGACCAACATACTATACATACATATACAGAAAGACACATGTACATGAAACCAAACACGTATAGCTTGTATGAATTAATGGCCTGTTAGTGCTGATAGAGGTGCCTTAAAGGGCCCATCTATGGAACATTTAAGGTATTCAGAGAATTGTCATGATGCCAAAGCTTTGAGTGCAGCTGGGGTCTGAATGTCCTTTTAACCCTAGGAAACAGGAGCTGGCCATTGTTTCCTTCATATAGACGCAGACAAAGGCTGTGTGTTTAGATGTGTGTTGAGCCAGGGCATGTCGGGACATGTCTGTATAATCTATACCAGTATATACCAGAGTCTTGTGTCGGTGCGTACATGCATACAATCGACAAAGCAATGCGAAGACCCCCACACACATCGAACACACGAACACACACATACACACGCCGTCCTTGGAGTGATTGCAGGGCACCAGAGAAGTTGACCAATCAAGCAGGCACTCATCGATTTCCCTTTCTAATAACTGGTTAATGGCTGTGACGCTGATCATTGATTGACTGTCTGTTTTAATCAAACACAATCTGACTTTCCATTATGCGTGAGAGAGGGGCCTTTTACCAACCACAGAAGAATTCTTGGTAATCACTCACAGGGAACTCCTGTTTGACATTTGCACTTGATAATAAAAGCATAATACTTGAGAAAAGCCCTGATGTTTGAGATGCAGACACACTTTTGAATACTGTAGCTGAAAAGACAACAAAAAGGGGAGGAGGTTATATAACACAGCCAAATTGAGTATGTTTTTTTTACTTTACTTCACACAAAAAGGTCCGGATGCTGCTTCTGAACACAGAAAACAAGTTAGTGGCCTTTGATTGCTCCATCAAATCCCAGCATGGGTATTGGCTATGTTTTTCTGACATGGAACGTAATGGGACTTTAATGGAGCATAGTCCCATTTGTTGACAAAATGTACACCTGCCCCTTCAAGCATGGCTAGATAAGAGAGAGTCAAGCCTTCACCATGAGTCTAGGACCGGTTGCCATAGTAACTCCGGTTAGACATGAATTTTGGTGGTGGTAGGGAAGGTGCTGAGTCAGTGCTTCTGTTCTGGGTAAGAAGACCCTGAACCGCTCTGGACTCTCTCCGAGGCTCGCCTGTCAGGTTCTTCTGTATCGCAGTACAGTTTTTCCACGGGTTTTTATTCATGCTGCACTGGCCTAGATAACAGCTGTTTACAATGCACCACCTGAAAGGCAGACGGATGCAAAAACAAGTCAAGGGGCCCGGGCTCACTCACAGTGATACATTAAACATAAACAGTAATGCTAATGAGAACACTACTTAATCACAATAACAGATTAATTAGCAAATATTACTAAATATTCCAGGTCACAGATGGGTGACAATTAAGAGGAAAACCCAACACAAACCTCCCAGTCTCTTGAACTCTATCTACTCTCCTATAAATCTTCAATTGATTCACATCCTTTCAATTCTCATCCTGTCCTGTATGAAAGCATCTGCATATTTGTCGTGTTTGTCCACTCATTCATCCAGGTGTTTCCTTATATGTATCACCCATCTCTATGTCCATATATGAGTATGAGTTTACCTCTCAGATCATTTTAGAGCAGCAGCGGCTAGTCCGTTAATTAATTAGTTGGTCCACAGGAACTTATTAATCAGCAGCTATTTTGATAATCTACTAATTATTTAAGTCGTCATTCAAGAAAAAGTGCCAAACAATCACTGGTTCCAGCTTTCAAATGTGAGAATTCTTTGTTGTATCTCAACATCTAGTTATAAAATATATAATTTAGGTTTTGGACTGTTGGTCAAATAAAAAAGAAACATATGTATAGTGGGCACTTTACATTTTATTCCCAACAAGATTAATTGATAATAAAAATAATTTTATTTCTTTTAAATAACTGTTAATGCCTTAAGAGGTAAAATAAAGAATCTAAATGAATAAATAATAAAACTTTCCTCTCCCATTAATCATCTCATGACCCCACAGATTCACCCTGCAACCCCTTGTATGGGTCCCAATCCCCAGGTTGGAAACCTTCAATTTACTCTATACTCCTAAATAACAGCTAATTATAAAAGTAGTCTAAACTAATCTTCTGTATGTTCATTCTGAGTTATTGTATCGACACACAGATGCACTATGACTATACAAATGCATCTGGAACAATATAATGTCCCTTACTGTGTACCATGGTGACAGGGTCTAACAAAACGATAAATACAAAACAAAAGAGACTCCAATCAATCTACTTTCCATGGTCTAAAAACAAGATTTAGTGCCTTAACAATGAGTCTTCCTCACAGCTGATGTTTTGTAAGTGTTTCGACATGACACATGTGACAGTAGGTCATGTGTTGTAGCTAGCAAGTGAATGTGAATACATGCTTTTCTGTCCACCAGTGGAAGTAGTGCTGGCGGTAATGGGTGTACTGGTCGTCTCTGTGGAGCACAGCTGGAGCAGCAGAAGAACACAGCACTGCGGAATTCCCCACCAGCTAAGACAAGCTATTTATAGCACACACACACACACAGACGTACAGTTTGCATAGGCCCAGGGACCTTTTCACACACAGACGCACATGCAGATATAAACCGTTCCCATCACGTATCCCCAGAGTTACATGCAGGTTTGTACCTTTCAAACATGCATACACACAAAAATCCACATAGAAATAAATGTGGAGGACAAACATGTGCAACTATGTGTGTGATGTCAGATTTATGGGTCATGTGGGACAAAATGTTGGTCTGTAGGTCACACAGTTAACAGAACCTTATTTCTGACCGGTGACCAACATACATCATATAAAACACACACACACACACAGACACTTACACAGCACACACACAACTAGTGACAAAACAAACATACACTGACAAAGACACACACATACACACTCCGACATAATTTCTGTTCAAGGCTTCTTCAGCTAATGAGTAACCCTGACCTAAGCCCTTGTCCCAGGGTATGTTGTGTTGTATTGTGTGTGTGTGTGTGTTGTGTCGTGTGCGGGCGGGCGGGGGCGCTGTCGTACTTCAAATTCTAACTTCTTACCTTAAGAAAAGCCTTCTCTTGGGGACTTCTCTGGTTACAGTGGGCGCTTCACTCGCTGTTCGACACACTGCCTACAAAACATACAACAATCCAACAACTCAGCTGTGCAGTGTGTCGTGTGTGGCGTGTGTTTCTCGTCCTCTCAGGTGTCAAGACATGAGCGACCTGAACCCCAAGACACACACGTTACAGTGCGCAACCAGAGAAATAAAACAGAGAAGAAACACAGAGCATCATTACGACTCACAACAACCAGCTTGAGACAATCTCTTCCTTGTCTTTGGTTTTGTTTGGCCAACCTCAAAACTGTGCGCACTTTAAAGGATAAGTTCACATTTTTCAAGTAAGTTTTAAAATAATCCTCATATTCCTATATGTACAATAAAGGTGCAGTTGGTCCCTTTAGTGGTTCCTCCTGCCAATGCCTGCTGAAATGCACTTCTTAAACCAATATTAATGTAAGGGATGGGGGACAAAATCCACTAAAGCTCCTTCTGTGTATAAAATAATACGAGTTCAGCTGGTCTTGATATAGGACTGTGAATTTTGCCCTCCAT